TTGCATCAAAATCCTACTGTTCTACATCCAATACAGTACAAAGGTTATCAGTACCCTTTTTTTGGGGGGGAAGCACCTCCAGCAACTCATGGATCAAGTACAACATACCAGACAATACATAAAAACCAAAGGGTTTGGCTCAAAAGAACTCAGCCCACAGAAAAATAGTAATGTTACATATAGCACCTTCCCTTCACACGCCCTTCCTCCTGCAGCAAAAAAGCTGCACAGAAAGAACTGCCAATCTGATCTGTTTGAGGGGAAAATGTCTTTAAGTGAATTTTAAGTGAGAGCAAGTGAAGGGTTAACCGTGACTTTACCAACACTTCAAGGATGATGGTCCCAAGAGCAGCAAAATGCTCAGACTGTATTACGCATTTTCTCTCAAGGAGCTTTGTCCTGTTAAGCTTCTATTTTGAAACCACACGAAGCCCCTGTCACAATACAGGGTTTCCACTTCTGTGCCATGCAATGCTGACGCCAGCGATAACGGCTGGAGGGTACAGATGGGTGTCGGGGGGTTCTCCCTGACGCCCCAAGTTCCTCATATTTGTTTGTCTTGTCTTCCCAGCTTCACAGAGGAACACCTATGATGGCAACCCCAAATACCTACCTGAATCAGTGCTTTCAGGCACACAGGCTATTAAGCTGATAGTTACTTAAACAAAGCTGCATCCTTCTATCAAATGCCCAGAATCACATTCGTTTTCAAGATACTGTCCAACATTGACAGCCTTCCAGAGTCCACCTCCAGGGTCACCAAAACTATATTTTCAGTAGCAGTGCACGTCATAACCCCTGCATTATTCCTGATAATCCAGGTATTCTGTACCACAGATGCAGCAGACAAAGCTGAATATATCCATAAATGCAATATGCAGATTACAAGTTTATAGGCAAAACTGTCAGATATAAAGGTTCTTTGAAACGTCAGATGTACGTATTCTTTGCAAAAGCAAAGGCGGCAACTAAGGAACAGATATCACCTGCTTATCATCTATGTGGAATGCACCGGGTACAAGGCGGGGGGAGTTGGGAGAAAAGAAAAAAAAGCCCCAAGAGTCAAGTATAAACTCTCTATGGTGCTCCAGATGGTATTTGGTCACCAAATGCAAATGAGATCACTGCAACTTGCAAATCTACAACTTCCCTGACAAAAAAATCTGCCAACAGCAAGATACTACCTCCTCTCCATTCCACTGCTTCTGTAGAAGTTACAAAAAAGTATTTTATTGGGAAAAGGTGCAGCAGCTGTAATACTTGTCAAACCTCTTCAGGCAGCAGTATCATTTATCCTTAAGAAAACACAACTTGCACAAACTAAAACACTCCAAACTTTTTCAAACTTGGGAACGTCACTCTTTTTTTTTCTCTCCCACGCAGTGACCCCACACCAATTAGCTTTTTTCACTTGAGACAGAATAAAGATCTTCCATCTTTCTTCAAATTTCAAATCCAGTCAAAATAAAAGCCAGAACACAACAGCTGAGGCTGGCAGGAAAAAAGAAATGCAGGAGTTTATGCAAGAGACACACCTACGGAATTCACAGCTGCCTAGCTAATCTAACTTCTCAACTGAGCTATAGCTGTTCTGCAAATAATTGTTTTTACTTAATCTCCCATGACAGCATTTAATTATCTACACAGTTTTTGGAAAGCTACTACATAAACAAGTGTTCCTAGTACCTCCTGTTCAGAACTACTAAGTTGTTTTCCCAAAAAAACTCTTTTATTAAAGGCAGACAGATGACTTTGGAAACAACAATCTCGAGCGTTAGAAAGATAAAGCAACCCACACAGTTCATATGCAAAACGTTAAAAGATTGTTTCTGAAAGGAAAGTCCCAGTTTGGACTTCTCATTTATTTCACCAAAGTACTAAATGCCATACAACATTATTTAAGTGACTCCGTTAGTCAGGAAAATCAATAACTCTAGTCTAGACTTGAATGAATGAAAGTTAAAGACTTAAATTTAAGTTGCCACTAAATTTTTATTACCCTAATGAAAATTTTGCTTTTAAAGCACAAGTCCTAGGCAGCAGAAGAGAAATCCAAAACACTATAAGCAGCTTCGTACTTGGCAAGAATTCATTATGTTATTAGCAGCCATTATTTCCTGAAGTTCACACATCTCAAATGACAGCATTTGTAAAGCTGAGCATGTTTCAGATCGACTCTAGCCTTCCACTTGGATTTGCAGTGTCAGATTTCTGGGACTTGTGCTCCTAAGCATATGAGTACAAACACAAAAACAAAGCTCTGGTCAGTGAACTAGAAGTTACTGCTCACAGTGACAATCCAACCCCTGTGAACAAGATTTTAAGCCAATGCAGCTTATTTCGTGACTAGCTTACACCAAAACAAACAGCATGCTACACGGCTCAGCTGACAGGCAAGTAAATTACTATGCTGCAGTAACTGATTTTCTGTTTGTATGCCCACCTGCAAAGTCCTTTATGTTTTCAAGAGCATGTCAACTCAAGGAAACTAATTTCAACTATCAAATATTTCAGTACTGTGGTCTGCTTATCAATAAAAAGCAAATAACCTTGTTTCTTCCACCTGGCTGCTGCATGAACACAGCGTCCTTTGTCATATTTCAAGGAATCCATCTACATAAATGCCTCATTCTGGCAGAAGCTGATGTTCAATATTTTGTTAATACTGATGTTTGGACTCTAAAACACTACTGAGGAGAGCAAGACAGCTCTATCAGCAGTAAAAATTATAATACTTTTACAATTACCTCACTTTAAACTACCGTCTGATAAGTCACTACAAGCATTTCAATGTGCTTTTAATACAGAACCAGTAAACCTACCATTATATGATTGACACACATTACAAAGAATTCCAAAACCGGCAGCGAAGGGAGCAGAAAAGGAGATTACTTCCCAAGTTCTTGTAGGGTCCTGACAGTGATCAAGAGAGCATTTCTTCCTCTTTCAATCACCACATACCTCATTCCCCTAAATGAGTTACGCACAGTCTCTCTTTCTCCATCTCCAAACTCAACTACGCCCCCCTTCACGGCCCTTTGTACAACCTTCAGCGTGAGAGAGCACTGCAAACACGGGTCACGCAGGGATCGTGCTATTGCACCGGGGCAAACGCCCCTTTTCAGTACAGCTGGCTGCCGCGGCGGGAAACACACTATGTTCAGACTGTTCATCGTCAGTGCGACACTGCTGCTGTGCACACTTAAACCAGCGCTCTCGCAGACAATTTTCAGATTTAATTCCGCTTAAAAATTATTCTGCTGAAGGCTCCAGCCCCGATGCTTCATAAAATTTTGGACCAGGCAAAAATAATGTGTCAAAAGTGATGCTATTCTCTATTTGCTATACTCTGTCCCATACTTTTATTTGAGCAGGTTCAGCTATTCATACATTTAAACGCTTCACTGTATCATTATCACAGGAAGTAGGATTATATTGTTGTAATCAAGATGTTAGATATAAACAAGCTACATCGATTTACAACAGAAACAGAAGCCATCACCTGCAACTCTCCTCAAATAAAAAGACACTTAAGTCCCATACACTACATTTGAAATATCAAATAAACCATATTTCCCAAAAAGAAAAGCATATATTATTAAAGCTTTGCTGGGTAAGTAGAAATATTACCCATGCCTTCATTCAAAACAGGTGCCTCATAAAAAATTAACGTCAGTGGAGTGGCTTGGTGCAGCACTTCCGAGCCACCTCTTTAATTATACATGGTCACACAGCTACCTGCACGTAACATGCCCGGAGAGACACCATGTTTCCTATCTGTGATTTCACAGGCTATATTGCCAAATAAACAATCTGGTATTCATGAAAGTATGACGTTTGTGCAGTCTGAAAACAGCTGGTTAGAACAGGGAAACAAATAAGGAAACGAACGTAGCTTAACCCAGGACTGAAACAGTGTGGGCTAGAGGTGGGAAATAAAGGACAACTAAAGCACACTTGACAGATACAATATTCTGTATATTTGAACTGGCATCAAACTGGCAATCGCCAAGTAACCAGAAGGTCTACAGACTACCAGGATGAAAATTTATTGCAAAAACCAAGTAATTCATCCTTATCATTGGTTCGGTTTGTTGTTGTTTTGGTTATTTTAATTACCATTATTATTCCAGGATTAGTGAACTTTCACTGCAATTCATCCTTATTATTGCTTTCGTTTGTTGTTGTTTTGGGTTTTTTTAATTACTATTATTATTCCAGGATTAGTGAACTTTCACTGTTTTCATCCAAGACATGAGAGGTAAAACAAGAGACAAGTATTCTTGCAGTCTAATCAAATACCTTTTAAAAGTTCAAGTTTGCAGGCAAACTAGGTCTACTCATAGCAACAATACATCATTGAAAAGGAATTAATAAATCATGGATAGTCATAGCCAAAAAGGATCACAACAGATAAAGTCAGTTTTGTTTTATAATTTTAAGGCTACGCATTCTGGAGACACTGAGGATAATCGAGTTGCATAAAACTTACAATCACATAAACTTATCATTGTCACCTTCGTCCTACCTTCCCCTTCCTTCCTTTTATTACATTCACTTGTTGCACTGACGCTCAAATTCTGCAGCATGACCAACGTGGCAAGTTCTGACCTTGCAGATTTACCTGCGGTGCCATGGAGTTTATCTGACTCTCTAGTACAGGTGTTTCATTCCATCAACTACTACCTCATGCCAGAGTTTATTTTCTTTATTATTATCATCCTTTGAACCAGCATTTACTCTAAAATTACAGCCCATCTGAGATTTCACAAAAATCTCATGATGCTGGATGTAGGCTCCTAAGTTCTTTCAAGTTTTATTTTGCATTTTATCTGCAGACAGCTTGCAGCAGCAAAGTCAAGTTTACAAGCTTTTTTTTTTCCTTTAGGTCTTAATACATAAATTGTGACAAAATCGCGTATGGTAGCAAGTTAAAGCTTTTAACTTTTAATGACAGAGTTCTTTTTTCACTGGAAATCAAGAAACAGAGAACAACTTACTGTGCAGTTCGCGATGTATCACATCTACAAGATTTGGTTCATCTCCCCACCAGAATATCCACAGCTCCTTACAATCCGGTTTGACGTCGCGCCGCCACACACAAAGCAAATTGGCCTGCAAGCAGCGGATGAAGCTGAGCAGAATTGGATCATCCTGTGCTGGGGCTGAAATGATAGGGCCACAGTCCCCATGACCTTCAAAATTGTACCTACGCCATTTGATGCCTGTGAGTTCAGCCTAGGGGAAGAAAAAAAAAAAAACAAAAAAACCACATTAAATCACTATTTCAAAATTTAGTTACATTCATAGTACAGGTTTGTTTCATTTTCATTGCTTAATTCCTAGAATTTAGCTCTCAGCAGCCAAAGTTAAAAACTCCTCCTATTCCCATATTTTCCTCTTGTCCCCCTCAAGGAAAAAGGAAAACAACTTTAAAACCCGTACTGAATAAACCTGGCTTCCCCCTGCATTTACGCTTTTTACCACAACCTGACTCATTTCCAGCAGATTCATTCATTTTTAACCTTGTTGTTATCTTACTGCAATCTTACAAATTAGAAGGAAAAAACCTAACAACCAGGGAGAGGGAATAAGGCCCATTCCCTACCTGCTGCTTGGTGGTCGAGCGAGTTCAGTGTCAGCCCAAAACTTGACCACTTGAAAGTCACAAACAAAATAGTACAGGACGTAAGAAAACACATGACTTACTGAAAACGGTGAAATACATATTCTGATGTCCCAGGTTTCCCACATATGCTTTTTATTTTTATATTGCTCAAATGAACAAAAGCAGAATAAGGCAAGTTGCCATTTACTATCTCTGAACCAGACCAAAATCTCTTAAGAACAAAAAGAACAGGAAAATGGCTACCCAGACTTGTGGAAAGGATTTTCCCTCCACACAGGGTAAAAATCTGAAGGAGTGTAAGTGTCCACTGCACAGCAGTGTGAATAAACAACTGCCAGGGAAGAGGCCCACAAAGTACTCACTGGCAGCCAGAACCAGGTCAGCAGAGCAATGGTTCTATTTTTTTTTCTCTTTTCACTTTCAATAGCAGATACTCACAGCTGCCACATTCAATTCCTCCCATCTCTGAAGTGCCCAGATTACTACGTTTTTATCTACTTCTATGACCCTGCCCATCACGCTCTCCCTCTCCCCTCCCAGTTTGTCCCTATGATTGTCGCTGCATCCTTTCTCTCCACCCTCCACTGGCTCAGGGAGCCTGCCCAGGAGACAAGGGGCAATGCTGGCATGACTTTTAGCCCAGCTAGCCTGGGTATCGTTACCAAACAAAAGCGGTACGTATACACTCTGTGATCACAGTGGGCCTGTATTCTAGTTTCTAACCCACGTTAACCCGTTCTCACGGCTGTTGTTACCTCTGCTTCATTTACAGGACTCACACCTTCATTTTGCTGCTCAGGCATAGCTGGTGTGCTCAGCTCTGAAGTGGCCCTACAGGAACAGCCAGCCGGTCTATGGCAACAAGCTGCAAAACCTCAAAATACTGCATCTACACCTTTGACAAGAAACATCATTGGCAGGGAAAGACACAGCAGTGGAAACACCAGCTGTAGGAAGGCCCCCCTCCAGTAATAAATTAAGCTGTATCTAAACAGTAAACATTCCCTTCTGTCTCTGGATAGTACATATAGAAAATATCAAGGAAAAGGGTGAATTTTTACTCCTAAACAAAACAAAATACTTGCAAATCACATATTCCTCCCATTTTCATCATCTGCACAAGGACATTCAACTGCTGGCCTCCTGCTCCTCCAAAACCCATACTACATCTCTCCCTTTTCAAGTCCACTAGCTTAGTTCATTCAAAAGTTTAAACTCTAAAATGTACTGTCCTTCACCACAATAACTGCAAGTAGGCTGGGTAAGAGCTAGTTGAGTAACTACTGAGGAGCTAAAGGTGACATTCATCATACCAACCACAAGCCAAACCCACTTGTATTTCTTTCATCATATAAATAAATCCTCTAAAACAGTTTCACCTCATTCTGCCTCTATATTGCCTAGCGCAGCAAGGTTCTGGCCCATGACTGAAGTTCCTGTGACTACACCTCAAGGACTATTTCCCCCAACACTGATTATCCCGACTGCCTGTTTAATTTTCCTCTGAAGTGGCCTCACCGGACACACAAGAATACAGTAGCTAACCTCTTCTGGGAAGGGGAAAAAAAAAAAGTCTGACAAAGCACTGAACAGCAGTGAAATTGTTTTTATTTGTTGCATGCCCACCAGTCATCTTCAGCTCCACACTGCAGAAGCGACACTACCATCCCACATCACGTCAGCAGGATACCAAGGGTGGTGAAATCGCAGACAGCACTGGATTATCCCTGCTGAAGAACTTCTACAGCCAACACTACTGCTTTTGCACCCAGACAGAAATGCTGATCATCCCCAAAGTGCTGGGAAACGATGGAAAAGCAGATAGGGA